GGAGATTCCCCCAAGACCGTGAACCCCATCCGAGTGCGCTCAGCGATTCTCTCGGATGCCGTCGAGATTGTGTGCGTGCAAGGGGTACCAAATATATGACGATATGCCATTCCATGCGAACGGTAACACACCAGTTCGAAAGTACATAAGTGGTACATGCTTGTACAGGGACAGTGCTATTGGATACAAACAGCAGGTGATGAGGCGGAGGTATGGGTAACATCCTCGACGGAAATATAGAAGGATAGTTTTTTTTGCAAACAGGGACCCATGACACTAAATATCGCCGTGTCCTTGGTGCCCACACTCATGCACCCACGATTTTGACGGTCGCCTCAATGGGACAGAGTTGGGAATCTGTTGCGTTCGCGGGTGCGGATGCACGAGCAATCTGCTCACCCAACGTCTACAAGTGAAGAGATGAGGGCGATGAAAGAGGAGGAGACAGGATCACGGACCAGGATGTCACCGTCTTGCAATAATGTTTGTTCCTGGATCCGGATACCATTGATGTAGGTGCCGTACGTCGAAGAACGGTCTCTGATGAGCAACTGTGACCCTTATCAGCACTTACAAAGAAGGAACGAGAGTTGTTCGAACCTGTTTCCCCTGAATCCAGATTTCCGCATGTGGTGTACTCAACGAAAGAGAACCTGTTGGAAAAACGCCGTTGGATGTTGATGGTGCTTCACTGGATTGGGCCTCTAGCTGTATTCTGACTTTGTACGGCAGCGAGAGATGCTTGGTTAGGAAGGGAAAGCCAGCTGAAGTTGCTTTGAGCGAAACGGTAGGCGCGGAATTGAAGTTCATTATGATAAGAATGAGTTAGCAGAACAAATCAGAGGCAGAGGCAGAGGCAGAACCGGGATCGGAATTGAGAATGGATGGGTTTCCTCTTGGCTTTTATACTGTGCATCGAAGGACCGGCGCCTTCGAACCCTCTGAATTGCGGCATTGGAGACATAGCACCGCAGTAGACGGAGAAAGCCGCGAGGCCGATGTGTTTCGGCCTGTGGGTCAGGGACGAAGCAAACAAAAGCCCTGAATTTACGCGTCTCGCAACCGCGAAGCACGTTACCGGTGGGTGATTGTACCAAGATTATACCTGTGTCCATCAGTGTGATCAATCTCGTTGCGAATTCACATCGAGGGCACACCACTTTGGTGGGAGAAACATTACGCAAGGAAGCAGCTGCTGACCTGATGAGCGGCCTAGAGAGGCCCATGACCGCGTGGAATCAAAGTCTGGCCGCGCCAACAGAGATTTCTTCCATTCTAGATGATATTGAGGTCCGTTGGAAGCACATCCCAGATCGAGACCATCAACAAGAATGGGTCTTGTTGATGAAGATACACAACGGCTTTTCGGAGATTTGGAAATATAACTAGTGGCATTTCATGCGAGGGACGCCAGGCTGTCGAAACACGCGTGGGATCTGGGCTAAAGTCGACGAGTAATTCCCGCTGATTCCTAATTGGCAGTTGTTAAAGTACATCTGAGTAGAATCTGATGAGGGCACTCGCACCGTCCGCTGATACTCCCTGGAGATAACAGTGGGCACATGTTAACCACGTTGCAGGTTTACATGAACGACATCTGGGGTGATGAGTATGTATGCTTACAGACGGAGTAACTAGTTGGGACCGAAACCTTCTTAGCGAGTCTGATCCGCGACTGTAACTGAAATGTGAAAGGTATTACCTGTAAAGCCCAGTATCTTGACAGCATGATCTGGGGGTCACCCTCACGGTTTTGTCATAACAAATCGAGCTCATTGAAGTTTGGATGAGGTGCATTGTGCACTGCCAGGGTGTAATTTAAATTATAACAATTAGTGAGCACGTGACTACTTACACTTTTTTTCGAGCTTGCCATTTGCCAAGTTTCTAGTGACTTCTCGCGTGAACTCTAGTTCAAGGCTCAAGGTGACTCCGTTTCCTCACGCACATTTGGACTTGCCATGTCTCGCCTTCCTCGAGCTATCAATACCTTGCTGCGGCCTTCTCAGATCTCTTGCAAAGCCTCGGCACTTGCACCAACCCGGACACTATCGCGTCTGGTCAACTTCTCAACGCGACATACCGAAGATACATTGTCTTATAATACAAGAGTATCAGATGAAGACGACGCGCGTTTTTCTGCGCATCTCAATTCCGTTTTCCGATCCTTGGACTTTCCCCCGGAGCTCGCAAGGAGGCTACTCACCCATGGCAGTCATAAAGCTGCTATTCATGGACACAACGGTCGACTTGGATTCATCGGTGAGTATTTATGCAACGCGAAGACTTTTCGTTGCTCGTGGCTGACATTTGTTTCCATCACGCGAACGTCGATAGGCCGCCGTGTCCTGGAATCGTACTACCTATTGTTCATCCACGAAGCTGCCCACGGCCGTACTCACCGCGATTATGATCGCCTGGTTTCACGCACTCTAAATACATATTTTTTGGGAGAACATATTGCTCCTCGGTGGTCGCTCGGTCGCGTGCTTCTCTGGGTCCCCACAGCCTCGAAGGAAACTCTTCGGACGGCTCAAAATCAAAATCCAGATTCCGAATTGAACGAGGCATTGTTGCTGTCTCCTGGTATTGCCAAGAGTGTCGGGCTTTACAAGGTGATGGGTGAAGCCGTTCAAGCTGTAGTGGGGGGCGTTTACCACCAATTTGTACGTGATCGATCTGATTGCAACGGTACATGACGGTGACTCTGATGTGCGGGGTACAGGGTGGCTCTGTCGCTCATCAACTATTCCACACACGGATACTTCCGCACCTTCTGCTACCAGAGAAATCAAGCGGAGTTCCAGAGGAGTATCATGCTACGGCTTTAAAAATTTGTGACCGCATGGGCGGAACGGAAAGCGAGTTAATACATCGTCCAAGCATTCCTGGGCACACAGAGGACGAATATGTACATATAACACCCAAGAAGAGGGTCGCGTGAGTCCACTTTGTTCATTTTCACCTGAGTGAACAAAACTTACATCTGATGCAGTGCCGCTGGACTGTAACCGTTTCCATGCTCATCTGACACAGGTCGTTGGGTGGTATCTCGGGATCAAAAACCAACCGTTGTTTATATTTTTAATAGGATACACTACTTCTCGAGTTCCCAAGCATGAACATCTGCGACAGTATATTCCCCGTGGATTTGCCGTGTCCTGTGGCGGATCGACGCGTGCGACAATCCCCTCTACTTATGCTATTCACTAAACACTCTGCAAGTGTTCTCAGGATCAGTCCAGCCATCCACTGCCAAGCTCGGGCCACGGCTAGTGCGACGGAACTGATAGTCTCTTCTTAGCGCTGTCAATCAATCAATTAGTCGTATATTAGTTCCCCTTTATCTGCACAGGTGAACAAACTTTCAAACTCGAAGGGACCCACTTCGCTGTTTCTTCCTTGCCTCGTTCGTCTTTACACTGAGCCTCATGCATCAAATTCGCACATACACGAGGCCGCGGTCCGCGGCAGTAGGCTCATGCGGAGAACAAACTCAACAACACCCTTCCCATGGAATTCAATTCACCGCGCAATCGAGACTCAGACAAGTTCCCGACCCTTTCCGATCACTGCGGGGGAGCCTAATGCATGCTTACGTTCCGCGTGCACTCGCCCGGGTTCTAGTCAACTGGCCGATCACACAGTGGAGTCGGAGCTTGTGCATGCCTCGATGTCACAGTGGCGCGTGCGACCCTGTTAATCCGGTACACTCCTCCTTCGAATTGCCCATTGATCAATATTTGCTTGAAATTCAACTCAGTACACAATCAGCAAGACGACTGGGCCTGAGGGTACTGAGATTTTTCTCGTCTCATGACTCGCGTTAAGCTTTCACTGCGCTTGACCTCGCTGTCACACGGTCCGCGAATCGAGGCACGAAACGCAAGACTTCATTCTCTGAGCTTATTCTGAAAGTCTTGTCTGTTGAATGGTTTTAACGTTTTGGAGGGATCTGTGATGTAACAATCAACAATGCAGTGGTAGTCTCGACCTAGGTCGGAGCCGATGACCAACTCAGCTCAGTCGCCGTTGCAGGTCCTACAGTGACCCACAATGTATTCCGATCCCCTGCTCAACATGCTCCGCAGTCCCCTATCCAGACAGGAATGCATGGCTTTTCGTTATCACCTCCAGCCTCGCTAAGATGATCCAGCACGTGTGTTTCCTTTTCTCCGCCTTTCAGTTCTCCGAATATCACGTACTGGCCTTTCAACTTTTTCAGCTGAGCCTCATCGTCTGTGAGCACGATGAAGAATTGTGATGTGTTTCTAGCACCGGACCCTGTCTTGGAACTCGCCATCCCAAGTGAGCCTTTGCGAGGCACCACCTTGAGACCTTCATCCTCGGCTTTGAAATCGCCGCCGTAAATGGACTAGATCAGATCAGGTCAGAGATAAGGTCGTTTGTTCATCATGCTATGTCGAGTGGATCCTACCTCGCCGCCGCTTCCATCTCCCCGAAGTATATCTCCGCCCTGGGCGATAAAGCCCTTGACGATTCGATGGATGGGGCAGTTCAGATAATGAAGCCTCTTGTTCGATGCATTCTTGCACGCCCCTTTCTCCCCCGTACAGAGCGCGACAAAGTTGGCCGTCGTCTTTTCCAGCTTGAGTGATGCGCTCAGCACGAAGACGAGCCGTCCAGCTAACAAGGGCTTCGGACGCTCGAACAGCAAGGGCATGTCATGTCCCTGCGCCGCGTCGATGCCCAGCACGATCTCTCTTTGCCAATCTGCCAGTTCCTCTGGACTGGACGGTAGACCGTAGCTCGCGGCGTGTTTTTCGAGGTGGGATCGGGCGCGATCGTACGCGTCTTGATTGCATTGGGCTTGTTTGGCGTCTCCCATGTAGATATCGAGATAGACATGAGGACCGGCCATGAGTGTGACTTGGAGAGCTCCCTAGATCCGAGTCTTTGGAATCTATGTTTACTTGAGGCATTCACGAGCCGGCGCGGCTCTTCAGGCCACACAGCGCCTTTTTGATCGCAAATGCATTGGTGAGATGGCCGAGCGGTCTAAGGCGCCAGACTAAGGACTAGGTCATTAGATGACCACGAATATCTGGTCCGAAAGGGCGTGGGTTCGAATCCCACTCTCATCACACTTTTTCCTTTCTTCCTTGCACTCGACTCAGTCGGTTACGACGCCAAGAAGCACCAAGACTTTTTTTCTCTTTCGACATGTCGATTGCACTCCTAGTCTTAGAAGCTCTTTCCCCTGTCAGTTGCACTGGTGAGATGGCCGAGCGGTCTAAGGCGCCAGACTAAGGATCAGGTCATTAGATGACCCAGTATATCTGGTCCGAAAGGGCGTGGGTTCGAATCCCACTCTCATCACAACTTTTTCGCTCCCCCAATTCTAATTGAGTTTTGGATTGAACGTGTAACCCTTCAGAAACAAGTCCCATAAACGCCCCGCAACTGCCCTCATTCTGCCCTTTAAGTTTGAAGACAGACCGGCCTACACCTGACTCGGAGGCGTGACGAGGTGGCGCACAACAGATCATTATACTAACTCTCGGACACAATAGTGGACGGCTAAAGATGTAGTTTGATGGTTGGAAATGCCAACAATACCCTCTTGCTGAAATTGGCGCACTGGAATGCCACCGTGCCAGTAACATATCGTCGTTCGATCACCAAAGATACTGCGACACATAGTGGGCGTACATTCGCACCATTCATATAGTGTGGCGATGTGGTGTGTATCACATCTGAGTGACCTGAGTCTGACTGCTAACGCGATCCTCCCTTGCCGTAATCTGATGCTGCGATGGATCGGTAGACTGCCAAGATCGGAAGGTGGAACCACGAACACCCTCGGGCCACGAAGTTTGAAAATTCTGATTCCCGAAGGATTCGTACGCCGCGCCGGTCACTCGTCCGTACGGCGTAGGTATAATCCAGTTTCGTCATACCAACGTTTTACAACGATGAGGGCCTCAAACTATTCTAAGCCTGGCATGCCCCTCGAGTTTTCCTCGGTTTTCTTGCGAGGTTTCATGGCAGCATTGCGTCATGTGTTCCCATTCATGTATACTGGATGGTGGCATCACAGTGGCGTGCTCACTCTCGATGCTATGAACTCGGATGTACCCGATGGGCTGTACTGGGTGCTGGTGCCTGACCACACATCGACGTCACGACGTGGATCTCCTAGAAATGTCGATCTATGTTTTGATGTGCGCGTGTGTCACCTCGTCTGCAGAAAAAAATCGGGTCCAAGGAATGAACTAAAAATCAAAAATTTGTGATGAGAGTGGGATTCGAACCCACGCCCTTTCGGACCAGATATACTGGGTCATCTAATGACCTGATCCTTAGTCTGGCGCCTTAGACCGCTCGGCCATCTCACCTTGTTCGAGGCACTGAAAATGAGAATAATGATAGCAGCAGCGTGACCATCACGCGTCACAAGGGCGACCAAAGCGGACGTGCTTTGCAATCGACTTGAGTTGGCATCGGACGGTCAAACATGGCCACTGCATATTATGAATTCTACAGGGGATCATCGTACGTTCAATGTTTTCCTTGGGTGCAAACCAGTCCCTACAATGGGTTTGCAGCATTGGCATGGCGCTCACCGACTCGCTGGACGAACTTATTACCTAGCGGCGCCATCACCCCGCAGTTGGCGATGAAAGTTTTGCAACAGGTTCTGCACATAGCATCGTACCACACGGCAAGCGCGCTAACGGACAGTCTAGTTTGACAAATCCCTCGCGGATACGATGGTCAAGCAGGTGAAAACGAAGACGACGCTCAAGGCAAGTGCTTGTGCTGTGGGATTCCCAAGGCATTGACAGCTTGAGTGTGCAGGGTCACTTGCATACATACCGCCTGTGCGACGACGTGTGGACGTTTATCGTCAAGAACCCGTCGTTTAAGATGGAATCGAACGAGATGGTGTCGGCGCCACGAATAAAGATAATTGCATGCAAAAACGGAGACGCCATAGAAGCGGGAAAGAAGTGACATTGGCATACTTGCGTCGTGTGCATTGACGTCCGCATTGTACCATAAAGGTCTTGTAATTAGTTCGCGTGTAGGCCGCACGGCGTGGTGTCGAAGAAGGCAGACAGTGAGAACGCTGTGTATTGCTGTGGTGAGAAGACCCCTTGGGGAATATGAAGTACACACGTGGTCATAAATACAATTGTCATCCGTTTCGGGTTGCTTGTCTCCTCCTCTTCCTCCTCGTCACTGGCGACAACTCGCAATGAACCCCCCCGCCTACCCAGAACCTTCAACGGAGTCAAGCGTCGCCGACGCCCGTCGAGCTCTCCAAGTACAGCGCCGAGAGCTCTCCCAACTCTCCGACCGCATATCCTCGGCAGAGGAGGCCCTTACACAGCTCGTCACCGACAGAAAGCGTGCGATTAGAGAGATGCAATGCGAGCAGTATGCGTTAGAGGAGAAAGTCAAGCACACGCTCGCGTACATCTCGCCCATACGACGCCTACCACACGAACTCCTCCGCCATATCTTTATGTTCAATTTCGACAATCACCCTTGCTGTGCTTGGATCCTCGCCTCTGTTTGTGTTTATGGCGTAGACTGGCTCTATCAATACCTAAATTATGGTCCAAGGTGAGTAAGGGACTTTGCTTTCTGCACATCGGCTCCCGATGCACCCACCACCTCTCATAATTTAATTGCATTGGCGCTCGACTACGTTCATCGATAAAAACAACGTGTTTTCCACGCAGTATTTTGCCAACTGATGACTGTCTGTAAGCTTTTGGCGGCAATGCTCCTTGCAGCTATCCTGTCTATCATGCTCCCTTTCGCTTCTGGAAGCGATATGTTGGGCCACATTTACTCCGCGTGTTATCCTCTTTTGCCCAAATTCGATTTGAACTGCCGCATCTAACATCCGATCTTGCTTGCCCAGATACGACTCGTAACCAATCAGAGCACCTCTCCAGACACCATCCGCCTCTGGCTAGAGCGGTCTGGCGACAAGGTTCCGCTGGACATCGAGATTTACCTGCGAGTGAACGGAAGTTCGGTTGAACCGTCTAGCCGTGCTCGTGCGTCATCCCCTACGCCCTGGATCCCACCGCCACCGAGCCCCCCCACGCATTATATCCTACCGCATCCACCGCCAGGCACGGCTATACTTATCCCACCGGCGCAGACTCCGATCATCGTTCCCCAGTCTCCATCCCATCACGACACTTGGGGAGCTACTACTCCTCCTCCTCCCTCACGTAGCTGTCCACAAGTTCAACGTAATACGCATTGGGGACACATCGCAATATTCTATTTGATTGAGCAGATGCACCGATGGGAACGTTTTGTCTTCCGGTTTGACAAGCAATTTCCGTCGATATCCGCGCTCAAGTCGATCAATGGTAAGCGTTCTTACTTCCAAGATTGCCGTTTTTAATTGTGTGACGTAGGCGACGCTCCTTTACTAAGAGAGTTTGAGATTTCGTGCGCGGAGTCGATCTACGCTTCTGAATGGGCCTGGCTTCCTTGCGCCTCTCCCTTGATTCCATTGACGTTATCTCAACTGCAGTCTCTGATGCTGCATCATGTGCCGTTCAAGTGGTCATCCCCTATCTTTAAGACCGACCTGCGTTCCCTCAATCTTCGTTCACTCCCGTCCAACCATCTGCCACTTGACCGAATTCTGCACATTATCTCGAGTAATCCAAATCTTGAAGCTCTCACGTTACACTTTTCGGTCGTCGTACCGGCGATCCTTCCGCTAGTCACGACGTCGCTACCAAAACTTCGCGAACTCACCTTTGGAGGCCATTACCACATGTCGACGCTAGCCGATGCGCTAGTGCTCCCGGCACTAGATGTTCTGAATCTCGACATTGAAGCACGGGATCCCATTGAAGACGTCATTACGAATCTGCTGCAGCGATCTAACAATCCCCCTATCACTCAGTTGTCGGTGTCGTACGGGAGTAGTAACACATCGACTCTTTACTATGGCCCAGGAGGCATTGTCATCGCGTGGAATTTCCTGGCGGAGATGAACCACGTTCACTCGCTGAGCGTTGGTGGAACGCCGCTGGAACCATTGCTTGTCGCGCTAGGGATGCCCGAGGAGGAACAGTCACACTGGACTTGCCCTAATCTGAAATCGGTGACGATGAAAAGCTGTCATACGCACCCGGATGGGATTGCGAAACTCGTGCAGCTTATCGAAGCACGCAATCCAGAAACGGGGACTGCTGTCATGGTGCATGGTGTAACGCCCTCGAAGCTACGGCATATCGAGCTGCATGACTGTGCCTCGGTTGGGCAGGATGTTCTGGAATGGCTGAACAAGCGGGTGGAAGAGGTGATTTGTGTCGAGCCACCTTATGGCAGATCGCTTTGATGAAGGAAATGATATAGCGTCTTGTATGTCACCGTAGTACGTGTACGCTCGTATTCTGTGTGTATTCTTGAGTAGTGTATTGAATAATATGTTGTAAGCTGGGATTACCTGAATCGTGATTGCTTGCTTTAAATATGTTTGAATGGGATGGGTATACCTGCACAGAGGCATAAAAGGCGCACTAGCGCCGCGGAAGGAGTGCAGATTTGTTTCCAGATCGAAGCATTTTGCCTTTCGGACAGAAAAGGGACGCCGGTCATCCAGGAACGTGGGATCGCTGTGGAACAGCGTGGCGTTTCTGGTGTCGACACTGGATATCGAAAAACTGTCCACCCAAGCAGTGATGCGCAGTTGGATGATGGTCGTCAGCAAGGGGGTCATGGATCCCTGTTTGGCAGGACCAACCCTACTGTGAGATACCAAAAGGGTTAGGTCGGCGACGGGAGGAAAGATACGCCGTTACCCTCGGCCACCCCGCAGGCCATGTGGTCACGCAACTTCGGTCAAGATTAGAAACTAGTTTGTGATGGGGACGTACCGTGCATTCAGTGCGGCGTCAAGGTGGACTTGAGTTTGTCATCGTGATGATGTGAACCTGGTGACCCAAGCCCAAACCCTGTCACCTAGTTCACTTCGGATATATAAGTGGGGTGTCTTCGCAAGCCCCAACCTGCTCTCCTCGACCGTTACCTCTGCCTTTTTTCTTCTGTATTAAATGCCTGTCCCGGTGCCAGTCGAGCCTATTACAGAATGGGGCAA